TGTGTGTGTGTTGACAGTGTATGTGAAAGCGGTCAGTGGAGTTGTACAGAGACAAACTGTCCAGGAATCTGTTCTGTCGAAGGAGGAGCTCATATTAACACCTTTGATGGAAAAGTCTACACATTTCATGGCGATTGCTCCTATGTTCTAGCTAAGGTGACACTCACTGCTAGTCCACATACACATAACAGCAGCATGGACTCTTAAACCAGATGCACCATCAGAAAATAATATGCTAATATAATAATATGATTTGAGTACATACATGTGTAGTGTAACGTATCTAATGCAAAGGTGACTGATTACATGTTTTGTTTTGATGTGCAGGACAGTAATGGTTTGTCCTACACTGTGCTGGTGGATCTGGTCAAGTGCGGGCTAAGTGACACGAAGACTTGCCTCAGAACTGTAACTTTGGCCTTAGGCAGCAATTCTGTGGTAAGCTGCAGGCATCATCATTACTCCTTGTGTCTGAAAAAAATCCAGATCTCACAAAATTTTGTGCTTTTTCTCACCAATAAGAATCTGCAAATCCTGGTGTGTCTAAAATGTGTCTTTCTGCAAAATGACAGGTTGTTACAGTTCAGGCATCTGGGCAGGTCTATGTGAACCAGATTCATTCTCAGCTTCCACTGTTCACAGGTAAGTTATCTCACATTTCACTGTCCACATATAGTAAACACAGCTTCTTAGTATAATGATCATAGTGTATGTATGCATATATTCTCAGTAATAAATGTTTTTAAAAAAAACTTCTGCCTCCTGCCTTCTTCTGACCGCGGGTTGAGGGTTTTCCAGCCTAAGCAGGGAAACCTAGGCCTCCTTCTCCCTATCCCCCTTCTCCAACCTATCTAAAGGAACGCCAAGGTGTTCCTGGGCCAGCAGACAAATGTAATCTCTCCAGTGTGCCTACCCCATCAGCCTCCTGCCAGTAGGGAGCCCAGCCACTCTTTGGAGAAAGCAAATTCTATCTGCATTCTTTTGTTCAAAGCTGGTGACTACGGGTGAGGGTAGGGACATAGATCAACCAGTAAATCGGCAGCTTTGCTTTCACACTAAGCTCTCTCTTCACCACGAGAGACCGTGGTGCTTCCTGCTGCTTCCTCCAAAGTCCCCACAGGCTAACCTGTGGACACCTCCAGCTTGAAAGCTCCCTTTGCTCAGGTGTCTACAATCTGGTTAAAGGATTACCACCATGACAGGCACCACCTCGCAGCCGCAACTTTTTGCAGCAGCCTCAACAATGGAGATACTGAACATTGTTCATTCAGACTCAATGTTCTCAGCCTACCTTAGAAAGCTGCCAAAGTTCTGCCAGATGTGGAGTTGAACACCTCACAGACAGAGCCTTCTGTCAGGCGTTCCCAACACACCCTCACTATGGATTTATTATAAATCCAAGTACTTATATAATCATTCATCCCGCTGCTGATGCATTCTTTGTTTGCTTTTGTTTTATGTGACATTCAATTTATCACAGGTAAATTGAACGTGCTTGAACGTGACTTTCAATTTACATAAGCTAATAACACTCATTAGTTGTATTTATTTATTTTTTAGAGTGGAAATGCTATCTGCATCACTGACGTTTGTATGTTTGTGTTTGAATTAATCGCTACAACGTTTTTCATGTCTTCTGACCTCGACAGCTGATCTGAGAGTCTTTAAGCCATCTTCCTTCTACATCCTTGTGAGCACCACAGCGGGCATACAACTGATGATTCAGCTGTCTCCCATAATGCAGGTGTTCATTTCAGCTGACAAGTCCCTCACAGGAACCACGTCTGGTATGTCTCCACATTACTGTGAGTGTCTGGAACGTCTGGAATCTGTGTAACTGTGGAACATCTTATTTGAAAGGTTTATGTGGGAACTTCAACGACATAATGAGCGACGACTTTAGAGTGACAAGTGGGCTGGTGGAAGGCACTGCTGCTGCATTTGCAAACGCATGGAAAACCAGAGCCAGCTGCCCAGACATTACATCACATTTTGGAGACCCTTGTCACAACAACATCCTCACAGGTACAGATAAACTCCTGTATTATTATGTTTTATCTTAGAAAAGTTATTATGTTATATGATAAATACCATACTTCCTTGCTGTTTTTCAAGATTTTATTAAACAACAGATGATATATAACAAGTTTAATTCTGAATGTTTCTGTTTTAGAGAAATATGCTGATTTCTGGTGCTCCAAACTAACTGATCCCGAGGGAGTGTTTGCTCCCTGCCACGCTGTCATTAGCCCCAGCACATATAAAGATGTAGGTCTGAACATGCAAAGTTTCAATGAGAACTTTGCAGCTGAGCTCTTGTTAATCGTTTCACTAATACTCTTTTGACAGAACTGCATGTACGACACCTGTAACTGTGAAAAAAGTGAGGACTGCATGTGTGCTGCAGTTTCCTCATATGTCTATGCCTGCTCAGCAGCAGGAGTCCACATCAGTGGCTGGAGGAAAACCGTCTGTGGTAAGTAAAACACTAAGCATCCTTAGAAAGAGAAACACAGGTTCAAACAACAAATTTATCTG